GATTAATTTGCAGCTGCCACTCAGATGAACCGAACAGCATGTGGACACTCACATCATGCACTTTTGCTCCACCGGTGACAGTGAAGTAGATGGCAGCTTTCACATTATCCTGGGTTCCTGTGTCAACCCATAGGAAGTGTCATGAGTGCCTGAAGGGAGAAAAACCCTTGAGGGCAGCTTGAGACTAAGAGGGGAGGATGGCAGTTCAGTGGCTCTCCAGCAGCACCACCCTGTGAGAGGCATGCTCCACAGGTCCCTGGGCACGACCCCCTCCCAGCCTTCCCACATAGCTGGGGTGTTTCATTTGGGACCCATCACCCTCCATCCCAGTCTGGCAGCGCTACTAATGCTTGTGAAAGTGAGGCAAACCTGGGCTTAAGGGGCCATCTAGTGTGGAAAAGGAGGCAGTGTCCTAGTGGAAACGGGATTCAACAGGTGGACTACAAAGAATCTCTAAGCAAACATACCCTAGAAAGACAAAAACAAGCTGGATGTGAAGACTGGAAAATATAACCTTTCATGCAAAGACATGGATGCACATCCACAACAAACAACAGCAAACAGGGAACCATGACCTTCTCAAACAGACAAAGCAAAGTGCCAGTTACCAACCCTAACGAGACAGTGATGTGTGTTTCTGTGAGGTATTTCTTTTTTTTTAGTGAGATTAACATTTAAGCTAGTAGACTTGGAGTAAAGCAGATTACCCTCCATAATATGTGTGAGCCTCATCCAATCATTGGAAGGCCTGTGTATTAGTCCATTCTCATACTGCTCATAAAGACATATCCAAGACTGCGTAATTTGTAAAAGAAAGAGGTTTAATTGACTCACCGTTTGGCACGGTTGGAGAGGCCTCAGAAAACTTACAATCATGGTGGAAGCAGAAGCAAACATGTCCTTCTTCACATTACAGCAGCAAAGAGAAATGCTGAGCAAAAGGTGGAAGAGCACCTGATAAAACCATCAGAATCTTGTGAGAACTCACTCACTATCATGAGAAAAGCAACATGGGGATAACTTCCCCCACAGTTGAATTACTTCCCACTGGGTCTCTCCCACAATGTGGGGATCATGGGAACAACAATTCAAGACGAGACTGGGTGGGGACACAGCCAAACCATATCAGCCTGGAAGAAACAGACTGGGCTCACTTGAAGAGGGGGGAATTCTGCCAGCAGAGGACCTTTAGACTGGAACTGCAGCATCAATTCTTCCCTAGATCTCTTAGTTTGCTGGTGTACCTTGTAGTTTCTCTCTCTCTCTCACACACAGTCTTTTGCTTCTGCTTCTCTGGAAAACCCTAATACGCATATCCATGAGAATAGCTAAAATGAAGACGACAATGCCAAGTGGGGGTGAACAAGTGGAGCAAGTGGAACCCTCATACTTGGCTGGAGGAGTGTAAATTGGTACAACCATTTTGGATACCTGTTTTGTCAGCAGCACCTATAGCTGGATGTATGAACACCCTAAGCAACCCCACACTAACATATATAGCCTATAACCTGTTTCCACAAAAGGTATGTATGAGATTCTTCTTAGCCACACTAATAATGCACCAAACTGGAAACAACTAAATGTCCATCAATAAGTGGAAAGGATAAAAAATGGTGACATAGTCAAATGATATGCAAACTTCTACAGTTGTTAACTAACCAAGTTCATTCTGCCCTCAGGCAGCAAGCCAATCACTGAGGTGATGATGGGTTTTGCAAGGGAGAAAAGATTTCATTTGCAAGGCTACTGTGTGAGAAGACAGGAGAACAAACCTGAAATCCACCTCCCCAAATACAGGGCTTGAGGGTATTTAAGGAATAGAAAGCAGGGTGGTTTAAAGTGTGGGGAAAGATGATTGGTAGGGAGGAAAGGTTAGGTAATTGGGGTTTCTGCAAGAGTGTAATCAAGCTACATCATTCTTCACACGTGTGCAGAAAATGGCTGCATTGGCATGATCTGAGGGTGAGGTTTTTGGGCCTCTGACTTCAAAAGGTCATTCTTCGGGCATCCATGCAGGCCCAGTTGAAGGGCTGGTGGTCTTAACCTACTGGAAATGACCAAGAGCTACCTTCCAGTTCCTGAAAAACAACCTTTAAGCACCTGTTACTATAGCGACCAACATCCAGAGATGTTATCTATAAGGAAGCTTGTAGGAGTTTAGTTATGTATTGTTTGGCTACATGACTTAATAGTGGGATTTTTTTTTTTTTCTTTCTCATCCATGGACTCAGGTCATAGCTAGCATTAGGTTTTTTTTGTTTTTCTTTTTTTTGGTTGTTGTTGTTCTTTTTTGAGACAGAGTCTTGCTCTGTCTCTCAGGCTGGAGTGCAGTGGCATGATCTTGGCTCACTGCAACTTCTGCCTCCTGGGTTTAAGCAGTTCTCCCACCTTGGCCTTCCGAGTAGCTTGGATTAATGGTGCCCACTACCACGCCGACTAATTTTTGTATTTTTAGTAGAGACGGGGTTTCACCATGTTGGCCAGTCTGATCTTGAACTCCTGACCTCAAGTGATCTGCCCACCTCGTTTTAAGAACAACCAGAAGCAAGCAATGTAAAGCAAGCAAGGCAGGTTAAGTTTTGTGAGTTTATTCAGGTTAGTTCTCGGTTTCACAATAACATGTATCTCACTGACACAACTTGAGTGAAAGAAGTAAATTAGGGCCAGGCGCGGTGGCTCACGGCTGTAATCCCAGCACTTTGGGAGGCTAAGGCAGGCGGATCATGAGGTCAGGAGATGGAGACCATCCTGGCTATCATGGTGAAACCTGTCTCTACTAAAAAATACAAAAAATTAGCCGGGCGTGGTGGCAGGTGCCTACAGTACCAGCTACTCAGGAGGCTGAGGCAGGAGAATGGCATGAACCTGGGAGGCGGAGGTTGCAGTGAGCCGAGATTGCGCCACTGCACTCCAGCTTGTGCGACAGCGAGACTCCGTCTCAAAAAAAAAAAAAAAAAAAAAAAAAAAAAAAAAAAAAAAAACAACTAAATGAAATGGATAAACCTAACTGACGACTTTTTTTTTTTTTTTTTTTTTTGGAGAAAGGGTCTTGCTGCATTGCCCAGGGGGAGTGATGTGGTGTGATCAGGGCTCACTGCAGCCTTGACCTCTATAGCTGAAGCGCCCTCCTCAGCCTCCCAAAGTCCTGGTATTACTGGCATCTGGTCACTGATGACATCTGAAACCAAAAAAAGGAAAAGGATGGTGACTGGGTGAGGACATGAGGTGTTTCTGTGGTGCACCATTTCTTAACCTTGATGGATCTTACACAAGTATATTCACTGTGTAAAGATTCAGCCATCTCCATAGTGATGATTTGTGCAGCTTTCTGCATATAATTCAATAACAAATGTTTGAGAAAGTATGTTTCTGTCACTGCCTATTACTTTGGGGAAGTAACTTCACATTTTGGAGTCCCAGTTCCTCTGGCATAAAATGGTACATGAATTTAAAGAGATGGTCAGGTGGGCGCAGTGGTTCACACCTCTAATCTCAGCATTTTGGGAGGCCAAGGCTGGCAGATTGCTTGAGCCCAGGAGGTCAAGACCAGCTTGACCAACATAGCAAAACCTTATTTCTACTAAAAATACAAAAATTAGCCAAGCCAAAAATTAGCTGGGTGTGGTGGTGCACACCTGCAGTCTCCGGAGGTTGAGGCAGGTGAGTCGCTTAAACATGGGAGGCAGAGATTGCAATGAGCTAAGATTGCATCACTGGACTCCAGCCCTGGCACTGGATTCCAGCCCTGGCGAAAGAGCAAGACTCTGACAAAGGCGGGGGGGGGGGGGGGGGGGAAGAAAGGGTTAGTGGGAAACCTATTTGTAAAGTTTAAATGTAAAGAAATTACAATATGCACCTCACAGGTTATGTCCTGAATGGACAACTATCTCTCGCTGTGTGCCAGATGCTGAATATACACCTTATTTTGATTCATCCTCACAACTCAGTTCTCCTGAGTTTACATCTGAAGACACTGGAGGCTCAGAAAAGGAAAGCGGCTGGGCACAGTGGCTCACACCTGTAATCCCAGCACTTTGGGAGGCCAAGGCCGGCGGATCACCTGAAGTTAGGAGTTCAAGACCAGCCTGGCCAACATGGTGAAACCTGATCTCTACTAAAAATACAAAAATAAGTGGGGTGTGGTGGCTCATCCTTGTAATCCCAGCTACTCGGGAGGCTGAGGCAGGAGAACCGCTTGAACCTGGGTCGTGGAGGTTACAGTGAGCCGAGATCGCACCACTGCACTCCAGCCTGGGTGACAGAGGGAGACTCCATCTCAAAAAAAAAAAAAAAAAAAGGAAAAAGGAGAGAGAGAGGGTAAAGGGCTTGCCCAAATAACCCAGCTGGCCAGTGCCTAACGAGGTTGGGCCTCACATCCCTGTCCCCTCAGCCCTTGGAGATCATGGCTCCATCACCACCACCTGCCAGGCCAAGGGCATACTGGAACCTTCCGGCAGCCAAGGGCTCTGTGTTCTCCCCGAGGCTCCCAGATTCACGTGGCTGGTGCTCCAGGCTGCTCAAGTCCTGTGTGGATTCCTCACTCTGAAATCCTCCTGTACCCAAGCATGGGGGTGTCTCCCTAGTAGTGACCTGGTCCCTTTCTCCCACCCTGTTCTTGGAGTAGCTCATTTCCTCTGAGGGGTCTGTACCTCATCATCGTCCCCAACCCAGCACCCGCCCTCTTTCCATTTCTCTCCATCTCTCCTGTGCCTCTCACTTCCCAGCAGCATGCCCTTCCCCGACTCCTGCAGCCCACACAGTGACCAGCTCCCTCGCTCCTCAAGCCCAGCTTTCTCCCTCCAGCCCCCAGCAGTGGTCCGGCCCTAACCTCCCTGCCCCACCCTGCATGGTGGTCCCCGCCACCCCCATGTGGTGATCTGGCCTTAACCCCGTCACCCCATCCCTAGTGGGTGGTCCTGCCCTAGCGCCATCCCCCCCATCCCTGTGGGATGGTCCAGCCTTAACCTCCTCCCCCGCATCCCCATGCGGTGGTCTGGCCCTAACCCCGTCACAGCATCCCTACGGGGTGGTCCGGCCCTAAACCTGTCCCCCTCATCCCGGCGCCATGGTCTGGCCCTAACCCTGTGCCTCCCCCATCCCCACGGGGTGGTCTGGTCCTAACCCCCTCCCGCATCCTTGCAGGGTGATCCGGCCCTAACTCCCTCCCCGCAATCCCCGCAGGGTGGTCTGGCCCTAACCGCTCCCCGCACCCCTCGAACTGCACAGTGGGCCGTCCGGCGCCTGGAGCATCGTGTTTGCTGAGGGCCGGGCAGCCGTTGACTGAGGCTGCGATGGCGGCGGCAGGCCGGGGTCGGGAGCAGGACTCGGCGCGCTTCGTCTATGTGACGCGCTTCGGCTCGCATCAGTGCGGTGGCGTCCTGCAGCTAGGCGGCCGCGGAGCTCAAGGCCTTTCGGGTCAGGGGTCCAGGGCTGGCTGTCGCCAGGAGAAGCCGAGGGCAGCACCGGCGGTGGCGGGAGTCCAGGGTGGCAGTGAATTGCCCTCTGGTTCCCGGCCCAGGGTTGCCACGACCCTTGGTGTGGAGGCCGCGGCCCCTGCCTCCTCCCAGCTGCGGACGTCGAGCGTGCGAAGCGGCACCAGACTGTCGGCGCGTGCAGGTGGCACGGTGGGACGTGGCGCGGCGGGACGGGGCGCGGCGGGACGGGGCGGGACCGGGAGCGGCGGGGCGGGACGGGGCGCGGCGGGACGGGACGCGGCGGGGCGGGGCGGGACCGGGAGTGGCGGGGCGGGACGGGGCGCGGCGGGGTCACCTGGTGGGCGCCATCTTGCGGCACGTGGGGGGTTGGGGGCCGCTTTCCTGTCAAGCCCTGTTGCGAGCAAGCGCGGGCAAAGTAGAAGCCCAGTAATTCCCTTCAGAGGACTAGCGGTAGCCGGGACGGGCACCTGACATAAGAGGAGAGGCTGTTGAATGGAGCCTTTACGGCCCCCTCACGGAGGCTTTGTCCTGCGTGTTGCCGTTCTGGCGGAGGGAGATTGGTTGACTTCGTGAACCCCCCTCACCTGGAGGACTGACTTCTGGGTGCTGTTGAGTCATCCTAACTAAAAACAGCATGAGCTTTACGTTTAAATCAGGAAATGTCTTAAATTCAAAAATTAGCCTCCCATAGGTTTTGCATATGTCTTGATCAATTTATTCCTAAATATTTAATCTTCTTTGCTGTTGTAAATGGAGTTTCTTTTTACGTAATGTCCTCTAAATGCTTATTGTGTATAGGAAGCCAGTTTATTTTTTTTTGAGACGGGTTCTTGCTGTGTCACTCAGTCTGGAGTGTGGTGGTCCAATCACAGGCTCACTGAAGCCTTGACCTCAGCCGCCCGGGTAGCTGGGACCACAGGTGGGCACCCCCATGCCCAGCTACTTTTTTATCTTTTGTAGACATGGGGGTCTCCCTATGTTACCCAGGCTGGTCTTGAACTCCTGGGCCCAAGTGATCCTCCTGCCTCAGCCTCCCAGCCCTGGGATTACATGCATGAGCCACTGGGCCAGGCCTCTCTTGGTTTTTCCTTTTCCTTGCTTTTGAGACAGAGTCTTGCCCTCTTGCCCAGGCTAGAGTGCAATGACATGATCTTGGCTCACTGCAACCTCTGCTCTCCTAGTTCAAGTGGTTCTTCTGCCTCAGCCTCCCAAGTAGCTGGGATTACAGGCACCTGCCACCGCGCCCAGCTAATTTTTTTTCTATTTTTAGTAGGGATGGAGTTTCACCATGTTGGCCAGGCTGGTCTCAAACTCTTGACCTCAGGCGATCCACCCGCCTCAGCCTCCCCAAGTGTTGGAATTACAGACATGAGCCACCAAGCCCAGCCCTCTCTTGGTTTTTCTAAATCAACTTTACTGAGGATTAATTTACATGTGTTTTGAAGAGGTTTGCCAGATTTATACACACCCTGGTAACTGCCACCATAATCGAGATATAGAACATTTCCATCACCTGTACTCATAAAATAACAACTTTATTAAACTGTAGTTCACAGTGCATGCAGTTCACTCATTTTGCATGCATAGTTGACATATTCATGGTTGTGTAACCATCACCACTATTTTAGAATATTTTTAACCCCAAGAGAACCCCTGTATCCATTAAACATTGCTCACCATTCTCCCTATTTGCCCTCCTTTATGCATAAGCTCAGCCCTAACCAAGTACTAATCTGTTTTCTGTCTCCATAGATTTAACCATTTTGGACATTTCATATATGTTGAGTCATAGAGTATGTGGGCTTTTGTGACTGGCTTCTTTCACTTAGCCTATTGGTTTTTGCATGCTAATTTTAGATCCTATTAACTCACTGGACACTTTTATTATTAGTTTTATCCTTGATTCTCAGGATTTTCCAGGTATCAATATATATTATTTGTAAAGAGATATAATTTTGTTTCTTTTTCAACCATTCTTTGCCTGCAATAGATTTGTCTAATTGCATTTGCTAATACCTCAAGGGCAATGTTGAATACTATTGGAGATAGCGGGCACCTTAGCCTTGTTCCTGACCGTAGGGGAGATGCCTATAGTGTTTCCCCATTAAATAAGGTGCTGGCTATCTGTCTAAGGATTATATATTTCAAATATTACAAAGTATCCCTCAATACTTATTTTTTCAGTTTTTTTTTTTTTTTTTTTTTAATCATGAATGGGTGTTGATTTTTGTCAGAGGATTTCTCAGGTCTATGGAGATACTCTTTTTCTTTAGATTTATTTATTAATATGGAATGTAATATAAATGGATTTCTGATTATTGTACCAACCTTGCATTCCTGAAGTAAATTCTACTTGGTTTTAGTGTGTTATTTTCCTAATATAGTGTTGGACTCTGCTAATTTGTTTATAATTTTTGCATCAGTATTCAGGAGGGATAGTGATCTTTAGTTTTTCTTTGTACTCCTTTATCGGGTTTAGGTATCAGAGCTGTGTTTACTTCATAAAACGAATCAGGAATTTTTCCTTTTCTATGCTCTTGGATAATTTATAGAATGTTGGGATTATCTTGTCTTTGAAGTTTAGGTAGAATTCTTCTGTAACTATTAGGACCTAGTGCTTTTTGTGGGATAATTCCTTAATAACCTTCTCTATATTTTCTATGGAGATTGACCTTTGTAGGCTTCCTAACTCTAATAGGTCAATTTTAGTAACCTGTATTTCCTTAAGGAATTATCTGTTTCATCTGGGTTTCCAAATTCGTTTGCATAGATGTCTGCAAAGTAGTGTCTTATGATGTTTAAACATTTTCTTGCGTTTTAATGGTTATTTCCCTCTTGTCGTTTCTTTTCCTGTATATACATGCACTCTCCCTTTTTTGTGATCAAATTAGCCAACATTTTGTCTGTTTTGTTAATTTTTTTTTAAACTAAGATTTTGGCCAGGTACAGTGCCTCACACCTCTAAGTTTACCACTTTGGGAGGCTGAGATGGGAGGATTGCTTAAGGCCAGCAGTTCAAGGCTTTAGTGAGCTATGATATGGCCTTCAGCCTGGAGAGACAGAATGAGAACCTGTCTCTAAAAAAGAAAAATCAAAGTTCTGATTTACTAATTAGATATTTTGTTTCTCTAGTCTCTTCCTCATTAATTTCTGCTTTTAATATTATTATTTCTTGTTCTTTCTTTGGGTTTACTTTGTTCTTATACTTTTTTTGTGAGCAGGACATTTAATTCATTTATTTTTATTCTTGTTATTAAGTGTTTAGTGCAATGAATTTTCTTCTAACCACTACTTTAAATACATCCCATAGTTTCCAATATGTAGTGTTTTCATTGTTACTATTTTTAAAAGAAATTCTGTAATTTTTAACTCTTTTCCATAGAGTTACTTAATAGATTTAAAATTTTTAAGTTTTCAGAGCGTCTCAGAGTTTTATTTTTAAATTTTGCTAGTAAACGGTGGGTTTATTGTGATCAAGAGTATTGTTTGTGATGCCTTCATTTTATGGATGTTACTGGTGTTTTCTCTGTAACCTAACTTATCATCCTTTTTGCTCTTTTCACCTCAGAAACCATGCCATTGGAAGACTGCTCCTTTAAATCTTGCTTGCCCCTTTAAACTGAGTCTGTCCATTATATTGTATGCTTGGCATTCTGTGTTGTGTCTGTCTCTTTAAATTTCTTCCGTATAGTCTGTACTCTGATTTGCCTAGTTATTTTTTTAGTATTTTCAGATTTAGAATGCATGTAATCTTAATATTGGTCACTTCAGCTCTTCTGAGGCATTTTTGTAGTGTTTCTAGTTTCTCTTCCCTGCTGGCCAGAGCCCCTGTAGGTCTAGGGCATATGGGATCATAGAGCAGCAATTTAATGTTTTTCTCTCATTTTACTTACAGTTATTTTGCAGCTTCAACATCCTTTGTCTTAAAGTAATGCTGAGGGTGTGGTTTTTGCTTGCTGTTGTCTTCAGCTACCCAGAAGCCCTGCATTAAAAGATTGTGAATAAGAAAAGTGATAGGAGCCGGGCACGGTGGCTCAAGCCTGTAATCCCAACACTTTGGGAGGGCGAGGCGGGCAGATCACGAGGTCAGGAGTTTGAGACCAGCCTGGCCAACATGGTGAAACCCCGTCTCTACTAAAAATAAAAAATTAGCCAGGTGTGGTGGTACGCGTGTGTTATCCTAGCGACTGAGGAGGCTGAGGCAGGAGAATGGCTTGAACCCAGGAGGCGGAGGTTGCAGTGAGTCGAGATCGTGCCACTGCACTCCAGCCTGGGTGACAAGCAAGACTTTGTCTCAAAAAAAAAAAAAAAAAAAAAGAAAAGACAAGTGATGGGGTCAGGTTTATTAGTCCGTGCTGTGCAGCAGAGAGTGACTTAGAGGCAGGTTAGACTGAAAAAAATCTCCAATTGAAAACTATGTAAATATTTTGTTTGCTGTTCTTTCAGAACTAAATTTACTTTGATAATTTGTTAGGTTGGTGCAAAAGTAATGGTGGTTTTGGACCTTGACTTTTAAGTCATTATAACTAGGCTCAAACACATCTTTATTAATCAAAATAGGAACCATTACAATCAACACATTTTTGCCAACAAGAAATGAGTGTTTATTCTTGTGGTGTGAAAGTCCACACTTTGGGATGTGATGAACACCGGGGAAGCATTTTCTGTGTTCTGCTGGCTGTGGAAGCGTTTTCCCTGCAAAAAGTTGTCCAGATGCCTGAAGCAGTGGTAGTTGGTTGGCAAGAGATCAGGTGAATATGGTGGATGAGGCAAAACTTTGTAGCCCAATTTGTGCAACTTTTGAAGCGTTGGTTGTGCAGTGTATGGTCTGTCATCGTTGTGGAGAATTGGGCCCTTACTGTTGACCGGTGCTGCCTCCAGGCATTGCAGTTTTTGGTGCATCTCGTCGATTTGCTGAGCATGCTTCTCAGATGTAATGGTTTTGCCAGGATTCAGAAAGCTGTAGTGGATCTGACTGGCAGCAGACCACCAAACAGTAACCATGATCTTTTTTTTGGTGCAAGTTTGGCTTTGGGAAGTGTTTTGGAGCTTCTTCTCGGTCCAGCGTCCTAGTTCTCCTTCCTCTGGATCTGATCATGTTACCCCTGCCACAAAGGAATTGGGGGGTGGGAGAGACTGGAGGCCAGAGAACAGTTACGAGGCAGTTACGGTAGTCCAGTGGAAAGAGTGAAGGCCTGAACTAAGGCATTGGCAGTGGAGGCAGAATGGACAGGATCGCATAGCTTACTGAGAGAGAAGGAAGAATTGTGGTCGAGTCTGAAGTCTCTGTGCTGGGCAACTGGATGGATAATGGAGCTACTAACGTCAGTGACCACCCTGCTGTGCTTGCGAAGTCAAGGATATAGTCAAGGGAAGGGGGTCCTGGGGTAGACTTATATTTAAACCAAGCCAGAAAGTGCTTAAGTGCTTAGGTTTTACTCAGTCTTGGGTGTACTTAATGTTTGTTTTTGTTTTGAGACAGTGTCTGGCACTGTCTCCCAGGATGAAGTGCAGTGGTGTGATCTCAGCTCACTGCAACCTCTGCCTCCCAGGTTCAAGTGATTCTCCTGACTCAGCTTCCCAAGTAGCTGGGACCACAGACATGTGCCACTATGCCCAGCTAATTTTGTATTTTTAGTAGAGACGGGATTTCACCATGTTGGCCAGGCTAGTCTTGAACTCTTGACCTCAGGTGATCTACCCACCTTGGCCTCCCAAAGTGCTGGGATTACAGGTGTGAACCACCACACCCAGCCCTTAATGTTAATATTAAGTAGACATTAATTAAATGTGTCACCCTCTATGGGGGAAAAATGAATTATTTTTTCAGTAACATTTACTTAAAACTTATCATGTTGTGGGCCCTAGGTCAGGTGTTAGTGACACAGATGTGTCAGACAAGTAGTCTGCTCTCAAGGGACTTATTAATGAATAATGGGAATATAAACTAGTAGATATGAGTGTTGTAAGAGTGAGCTGAGAATAGCTTTGATAGTCAAGTTCAAGGAAAGAAGAGGCATAGATGCAGAAAATCAGGGGACATGAATAGAGAAATCACTAGTGGGACAGTAGAGGTTATCAAGAGCATTGGCTTTGAAGTCAGAAAGACATAATCCTTGGTTCTGTCATTTGTCAGCAGGATAATATTGGCCAAGTTAGTTAACCACTATTATTCTCAGTGTCCTTATCTGTAAAATGGGGGTAATGGTTCCTACCTTAAAGGGTTGCTGTGAAGGTTAAATGAAGTAATACCTGCAGAGTGCCTAGCACAGTGTTTGGCACAGAATAAGTGCCCAGTAAATGCTGGCACATTGAACAGAGATGGCTTGAAGGGAAGATGGTGATTAGCATGTCTAGCACACAGTGGACATGTACTGTTTATTGAATGAATGAAAAGTAAGTTTTGGACCACATTATGGAATACCTTGAAGACTGTCATTTTTATCGTCACTGAAGATTTTTGAATGGTGGGGTGGAGTAAAGTTATCAGAGACAGCTGCACTTTTGGAAGATAAACTATAAGCTGTTTGGAAAATGTACTGAAGTTTAGAGATTCAGGAGTAGGCAAATCAACTCTTCTAACATTTCAAATAAGACTAATAAATCAGGCCAGTTCCCTGTCCTTACAGAACTTGAAAGCTACATTTATAATTTATACATAATGGAAGATGATGAATGCTATTGTGGAAGTACAAATGAATCATTTGGAAGTGGTGAATAATTTGGGGAATGAGAGAATCAGGGAAGGCTTCATGGTGGTGGAAGCTCCATGAGATTTACACGTGGGGCTAAGATAGGAGAATTAGGTGGGGGAAAACATGTGAACAAAGTGCTGAGTATGGATCAGTGATGGACAGCGATTAGGAAGAATGACTGAGTCAGAGTGGGTGGAAAGAGGACTAGAGAAAGATTTGAAACATAAGTCAGGACGAAATCCATGAAATACAATGGAGCTAGTCTCAGTACAATACACAAAATGAGTGAAGAAATATGTCTTTTTTCTTTTTCATATCTTCTGTACTTGTTGTATTTTAGATCCCCAAGTAATTACAGGTAGACTTGATGACTCCTGTGCTTTCTCAAGGAGTATAGGTTTATGTTGGGTAAGGCTTACAAACAAGAAGCATTTGGGAATGATGCAAATATAGTATTCCAAAGGTTGTAGGCATTTAGAGGGAACGATAGATATGGGTACGTGGAGAGCAGAGTTTCCCAAACTTATTTTCCTATGGCATACCTACATATCATCTGTACTGTTATTTACTTAATATATTTATTTAAATAGGTACATTTTCCCTTTTAATTAAATTTCTTTTTAGAACACTTTAAATCATGACTTCAGTGGAAAACCTGTACCATTTGATATAAATAGAAATTAATTAGAAACAAATATAATAAAGGCAAAACAGTATTATTAAATTCTAGCTAAGTAGGTTGTCTGCTGAGAGCTGTCTGTGGTCACAAAGGGAGACGAACAAGTCTTAGAGAAGTCTTAATGACATGCTGGTACCAAACTTAGCCTTTCTCCCAAAGGTAATCAGAAGATTGAAAAACACTGGAAAGGGAATGAGTTTCTCACCACGAGTTAATATTCCTTAGTGCTATGTCTGTATGTCTGTGACCTGCTCCAAATCAGTGGCATGTTTCTCACAAATTCAGAAATGCCATTTTAGAACATATTCTAGTTTATTCAATAAATGGAATACTTGTTGTATAGCTGATATCTATAGAAGTGGATACTGGATCTCCAGTGAAGAATAAAACACTCTCCTCAAGTAAACGGTGTCATAAATCCTATGATACCTGAGCAGAGGGTGCTTTGTCAGATCAGAGAAGGCTCCCTGGAAAGCTAAGTATTGAATGAGTAGAAGCAAGTGAGATATAGAGCAGTGGTAGGGCAGGAACAAGGTGGGGAAGGGTTGAGGTGAGGGAATATTCTAGACAAAATGAGAGCCAATAGAAAGGCTTTCGGGGAACACATGCTCATTATTTTATAATTTTGTCTTTGGAAAAACAAACCCTTGGGTTTTCTTCTAACAGTTAACGTTTGGGAAGGCAGCATGGTTTAGTGAGTATTCAGGAAGCCCGTTCACTCTGGATAACCCTTATTATACTACTGTGTGTGTGGTAGTGTGAGTGGGAAGATGAGTAAGACACACATGACCACTGCCCTCCAGGAGGTCAGAGCCTAGTGGGGGAAACGCGTGATAAAAAGGTGGGCTGAGTGCTGTGAAGAAGGTGTTCTGGGAGCCAGTGCTGGGTGTTGAGCTGCGTGTGCTTGAGGGAAGGCTGTAGAGAAGAGGTACGTGTGAGCTGAGTCTTGAAGAACAGGTAGAAATTTGCCTGGGAGGTGTGTGGGGGTGTGTGTGTTTGTGTGTGTGTGTGTGTGTGTGTGTGTGCTGAAAGTCTTAGGAATTAGACACATTTGAGGAACCACAAGGTATTGTGTAGTATTGTGTAGTTGGAAGTGTAGTGTCTGTCTGGAGTTGCACTGAGAAGAATGGAGACTGTAGAGATACACTGGGGCAAGATATGTTATCTGGTATTTGTTCATTCTGTTGTTGGTCTTTTTGGGACTAGCCTTACAAACCAGAAAAGGAAGACTGAACTAGCTGGATGATTTTCTAGGTACTTGCCCGATTATGTCTAGTTTTCTTGGTTGTTTTCAACATGTTGTTAGTGAACTGGTAAACCAGTATTACCTGGTGATCAGAAATATACCAACAAGTATAAAAATCCTCAAAGAGACCTCAGGAAACATTTATATGGCTTCTATTTTCAAATAGTAAATCCTTACATATGTTGACCTTTTCACTTTCTTCTTAAATATTAGGTTTAATCCAGAAGGATGCAGCTAAAAAGTTTGATTTTCCCATACCATTGAATGAAGCTTCCAAAATAATGAAGAAAAAGAAAAAGGTATATTGCTATGAAGGAGAATGAGCAATATCTGAATTTTAGATCATCCTCTCTAAATACAAATGTGTAAAGATATTCAAGACAGTGAAAATAGTTCCATCTTTTGAATAATTTAATTTTCTGAAATGAGAAATAGAAGTAATTCAGCAGAAATGGAACTGGGTTTGGAAATATTTATTAACCATAAAGAATTGTCCTTCCAGTGTTATACCAGTGAAGGTATAAAACACATTTTAATCAAAATGTAACCCCATTGGAGGATTTTTCAAAGCATGATATATGTTCCATAGAAGATAATAGACTGTGACAGATAATGTAGTATAAGAAGAAAATCACAGATTTCATAGAAAGTAATAATGTATCTATAGTGGTCTTTTTAAAGACAAGGAATATGTAATAGGTTTCTAGCAGGCAATCTGAGAAGGATGATCCACTGCTGCTGAACTGTTCTCGCTGCTAGTTGTCCAAATGTCATGGTAACTTGAGTGTTTTGAACATATTCAAGATCAGATGCTCTGCAAATCTTTGATTGCCACTGTATGTTTATACTTCACAGCATCATTAATATTCAGTTTAAAGAAATTATTGGTTGATAGTGACACATAACATTGTGTTGTTTCTGAGCTTTGAGTTGTTTGATATCTGTGTATGGTACAAAATAGCATTAGAGGTTACTAACTCTTGTACCAAATATATTTTGAGTGAGCATCTAATTTTCCTACTGTACTAAGAGGTGTTTCTTCTGAGAACCAGTTCCTTTTAGGTGAGGAGAAAAGAGCAGTAACCAATACTTCCTTTTAATTAGTGTGTGCCAGATACTGGGGTAAGTGCTTTACATATGTATTAAATATTTTTTCCTTAATTCTTATAATCCAGTGTATGAAGTTATTCCTAGATGAGATTAAAATACTCTCCCATTGTCAGGCAACTGGAAAATGGCAAAGCCAGAATTTGAGCCTAGATGTATTTGTTTGATTCTATAATCCTTGTTCTTTCTCTACCAGTATATTTACATTCTCTAGTCCTATTGCTTTGGTGTGTCCTGGGAGAAATACTTAGTTCTTAACTGGAATAAAATACATTTAAAAATAAAATCATTGCCCAATGGTTTAATCATGGGAATATAAATTCACAATTTTTAAAAATTGCCTTTCAGAATGGAATGTGTTAGAATCACTTAGGTTGGACTTTATAGTCATTGCCTTTGAAAGGCAACTTCATCCAGGACTGTTAATTTAAATACTACGGGGGGAAATTCTAGGAATTTCAAAGAAAAGAACAGATATTTCAGTGATTGTGGGTAAACAATTACACTTAGGTTTTAGTTCTCTAAATGCTGATATAGGCTTATAATGATGATATCAATTGACATACAACACAATTGAGTCATTCCCGGTTGCCTCCATGAAAATATATTCCTACTTTTCTGCTCAGCATTCTTTTACTGTGCTTATCTTTTTAAGGTTTTAGTATGGAATAGAGTATACAAAGTCATTTCAAGAATGCTTGAAGAAAATGAAAATTATAGACACAGGCTGAAATGCCAAAGGTTATCTAGTGAAAGTAAGTTAACATAATTTTTATTGTGTTAAAAAGAGTGGCCTCTGTAACAGTTTAGTTATCTTGGGATCGCATGAGATCAGCAGTTTTCTTAATTGTCACATTCAATATACAGAACTATAGAAATGAGACTAGCATATTATCACTGTTCATCATAATTACAAGTACAGAGTACCTAGAAGCAGTGAGTGCAGAGAGCACAGGTATAGGAGTGAGTGGAGGAATGTAGAAGGAATGACTGGAATTTACTTAGCAAAGGGAACATACTTTTCTGTTAAATGTGAATCTTAATGGCAATTAAAAAATAGAAATTACAAAGCTCATCAGTATTGATGAAGAAAAACATTTTAACTGCAATATAAAATTATACATTGTATCACTTGGTGAAGTCATTTCCTATCCATGGAAGCTACACTCCTGCTTAATGCATTTTACAAAATCTGCCCTTGAGTTATGGCCTTGATGTCATTATTTCATTCCTGGAAAACAACTCATGAATTAAACCGTGCTCTAAAGCTGCATCACTATTGAGTTGATATCGTGGTCAGAGCAAAATTAGATGTAGTCTGGTGTGTTTATTAAAATAATTTGTAGTTCTGGATTTTCAAAAAATTAAGTTGGATAAAATTTATGTAACTAATAATGCCATGTGAATTGATAAATCACAAGTTATTTTCTTTCCTTGACATACATTTCTTTCCTTAACATGTCTTTCTTTCCTGCACATGCTATCATGAATGTTTCTGTGAGTTCTTAGTACAGTCATTCTATGGCAACTTCTGTTTCATAGTCAGTAAAACTGCAATATTTAATTTCATGAAGAATATTTTCATAAGATAATCATGAAAACAGAATGCCATTTTGCAAGCAGTGGAAACTTACGGTTCATATAATATTGCATCAGTGGTAGCATGAATTGTTTGCAATAATGGCAGATTAGTGAAAATGTGTTTCACTTTTCTTGTCCAGAAAGGAGGAGAATGAGGTGGGGGGTGGATAGGAAAAAGAAAAGTAGTCAGAGGTGTCTTAACCGAAAAGGATGTTTGAATAGGCAGAGCAGTGTGCACAAAACCTGGACATGCTTCTGAGTGCTAGTTCAGATCACCGCATAACTTTGAACTTGTTGGATTCTTTTCTGCCTCAGCAAGAAGCCTTCTCTTAAATGTAATCTTGTAAGGATTATTTAACAACTTAAAATGATACGCTGTGGTTTCCATAAATAGCCTCTTCCAAACAAGTTCACTATTTTACATTACAGTGTTAAACTAGATTACAGAACTTCTTTATAAAACTCATAATTATGTTTAAAAATGTATTATAACTTGTATTCCATAATATGTATTTATTAATGGGAAAACCAGTGCTAGAGGCCATCTTAAATTTTCCTTATTCTTTATGTTGTTTGCAGGCTCAAATTATACGAGATGAATCTTCTTATCTTCTGGTAAGACTCTATTTAGGTAATAATTATAGAGTATAGATTTTTTTCCCTTCCCTTCTATATTCTCCCTTCTCCAAACATTAGTGTATAACCAACTGTTGCTAATTCCAGCCAATTTCCTTTCTTAAATCCAATGTTTGGCACATGTAGGTGCTCGTTAAAATACTTCCTGACCTTTAAAACTTCATATGGGCCCCATGTCCGTCATGCTGTTATGCTCCATGTTTTTCCTTCTTCTTCTTCTTTTTTTCTATTGTACCCTCTGAGGGCAGAATCTTCTTCTTTTTGTTTATACCTCTACTTAGTTCTCTTTTCCTTTGAATATATTGTCGTATTTCATGCTATTTTACTACTGCTCCTTTTTATTTCTTAGTGTCCTGCACTGCAGGCTGTGTTATGGCCCTTGTCCTGCCTCACTTACCATATTTACCTTTGCTACCACCTAATAACAAATGCTGTCCTAGGAGTAATTGTTGTCCCCATTCTCTCTTTACATATTCACGCTGAGATAACTCACAGATTTTTATAGCTTCAACTACTCTTCCTGGGTATATTACCCTTAAATCTCCATCCTACCCTTGACCTCTGGTCATGTACCTCTGATTTTCTTTAGGCTGTCTACTGCTACTTTCTTTTTTGTCACCTCTACTGATCTACTGAAATCTACACACAGTTATCCTTTTTTTAAAATTTTTTTATTTTAAAGAGACAGGGTTTCACTCTGTACCCAGCCTGGAATATAGTCACTCGATCATAGCTCACTACTGCCTCTAACTCCTGGGCTCAAGTGATCCTCCCACTTCAGCATTCCCTCCCAAGTAGATAGGACTGCAAGTATGCACCACCATGCCTGGCCAGTTAAATTTTTATTTTGTATAGTTGGGGATCTAGCTATGTTGCCCAGGTTGGTCTAGAACTCCTAGCCTCAAGTAATCCTGCTGCCTCAGCTTTCCAAAGTGTTGGAATTGCAGACATGAGCCACTGTGTCCAGCTGAGAGTATATTTTAGACATGAACATGAGCAAATTCATGGAGTCAAGAAAACATTTAGGGAATGTACGTGTAGGGAGTGTACACTTTGATTAAAGATTGTTTGACACAGTAACCTAAGAAAGTTATAAAAGTATACTGAGATAGTATTTCTAAGAGTCTAACTTGAATTTTGGGCAGAGGATTTGTACTTCATTCAGTAGGGAATGAAGAAATGGACCATTTTCTTAATCTTTTATTCTAAATGATTTCGAATCTACAGAAAGATTATTAGGCTAATACAAAGCACTCCAATATACTCTTTACTAAGATATGCTGTTTTTTAACATCTTGCCACATTTGCTTGCTCATTCTTCTTCTCTCTCTGTGTATAAATACTTCAGTGTGTGTAACCTAAGAGCAGGGGTATCTTTTTGTGTAACCACACTACAGTTATCAAATTCAGGAAATTGAACATCAATATGAAACATAATTTATAACCTACATTTCACTTTTTTCCTATTGCCCCTAATAGTGTCTTTAATAGGAATTTTTAAAAAAATTTTGCTACTAGATATACAGTTCAGGATCATGTATTGTGTTTAGTTGTCGTGTCTCTTTGGTCTTCTGTAATCTGTAGCAGTTTTTCAGGCTTTCCTTGTCTTTTTTGATATTGATATTTTTGAAGAATACAGGCCAGTCATTTTTTCAGGCTATTTCTCAAGACTTGCTGATGCCTACTTATGATTTGATTCATGTTATGCATTTTTTGGCTGGAACGTTGTATATGTAATATAACTTTCCAAAGGATTGCATCTTGAGTTACGTGATCTTCACTGATCCCTTATTGATAATGTTAACTTTGAGCTCTTGGTTAAGTTGTTACCCATTTATAGTTACTATTTTTCCTTTTGTAATTAATAAGTATTTCATAGGAAGATAATAAGGGTATGCAAATATCTTGTTTCTTTATGAATATGAAGAACATTTTAAAGCAGTGGAGCTATCAGATTTGCATTTTAGAAAGAATATGATGTCATTTGTGGAAATATTTGGAATGGAGGTGAAATAGGAGGTGAAAAAGAAAATCTGGGGATTGTAATAGCATCCAAGTGAAAAGTAAAATGCACTTAAATGAGGGTTGCAGAGGGTGCAGAGAGAAGACAAATGATCAGGTATGGGGATAAGATGATACTGAGTTTTGAGAGTGAATAAGAAATAAGGAAGTCAGGAGAAAGGACTCATTTCATGAAGGTACTGAGTTTTACTTTTGGCATGTTGAATTTTAGGTAATAGTGAGGTACCCAGGCAAAAATGCTAAGCAAGTTATTGGAAGTGTTGTAAGGGAGGTAGTGTGATATCTGCAGTGCATAAAGGTCATATGTAGTTCTAACAGTAGATGTAGATGAAAACTTTAATGTGAAGATGAAGAGAGAGGAGAGGACTGAGTACAGAGTATCAGGCAATGCTGAGGATAAAGAGGAATTTTCAGTTTTGGAGTCGGGGATTATAGGGATTACAGGGATTATTTGGAGTCAGGAGTAATGAGAGAGATTATTGTGGGGCTGAGAAGGGAGACAAATGAAACTTGCAGAAGATCACGGGATTGGGAGTTCGAAGGAGGGCAGAGACCTTGCTTAGTGAGAGTATAGGGGTCTAAAAAGATAGGAGCATAAAAATATGTTATCTAGGAACATTTGAAAAGTTTCAGCACCTAGAGGTAAAGCACAGGTTCCAGTGATGACTGTCTAGGCAATGGCCTTGGTTGTGAGTAAGTGGCCTGGAGGTGAAGGCCTGTGATACAATGTTTCTGTGACACATTTCTTGTAAATGGGACTGTTGAAGTCACCAAAGGTATTGGCAGGAGTTGGAGTTGAAAAGAAGAATATGAGTTACACACTGAGTGTGTTGGAAACTTTTTATGTTCAACTAGAGAAAGTAAAAGTCATTAAAACAATTAAGTACAGGGAGTTTCTTTTTTTTTTTTTTTGAGACGGAGTCTTGCTCTGTAGCCCGGGCTGGAGTGCAGTGGCCGGATCTCAGCTCACTGCAAGCTCCGCCTCCCGGGTTTGCGCCATTCTCCTGCCTCAGCCTCCTGAGTAGCTGGGACTACAGGCGCCCGCCACCTCGCCCGGCTAGTTTTTTGTATTTTTAGTAGAGACGGGGTTTCACCGTGTTAGCCAGGATGGTCTCGATCTCCTGACCTCGTGATCCGCCCGTCTCGGCCTCCCAAAGTGCTGGGATTACAGGCTTGAGCCACCGCTCCCGGCCAAGTACAGGGAGTTTCTAACTGTTGCTTTATAGCCTTAGAAATGCTAAAAAATTTCAGTGACTACTGATGATGATATTTTATATTAACAAGAATTCAATTTTGTCATTTTTTAATTTAGATTAACCTATCTTTGGATGTTTCCCAAAGAAGATTATGAAGAACCTAAAGATGAAACATTAAATGAATCATAATTATTTAATTTATGCTGCATAAAGTTTTGTAGTGAATGTGAATGAGGATTTTAGGTTTGCTTCAATGTATGTTAATTTTGATGTGTTTTATTAGAATTGGGACTTTAGTAGTTGAATAGAAAAACTACCTTCTTTATAAATTAATAGTATTTCTTTGCTATTTAATAATACGTTTAGTTAAATATTGTTACCATATGCATGCAAGTGTTATTGTCAGAATTAATACTTATTCTACATACCTTTAAATTAACTTTATACATAAAATTTAGATTAGCATATCGATGCAATTACATGAATTTTCTAATTACCAGCTTTTCCATTTTATTAATGAGTCTACAACTGCTGCTTTGTACATCTCTTCTTTTAGATGTAACTTTTAAATTAAACTTGGATTCATTTAAATTATTTTTGGCTTCCTGTAAACTTCTTTATTATTTTATGGGAAAAAACCTTAGAATTTACATAGCAACCATTATTTTGGGTGTTAAAACTAAGCGAATGATTATTTAAGCCATCTTTTCATCCTAAGGAAAGTTAGTAAATATATGCATTTATAATATGGATATATTGTAATGGACTATATTATAATATGGAGTATTTTAGGAAAATTTTTGGGCAAAGATCAGAGGAGATGCCCTTTACCTTGCCAGACCCCTAAGTAATAGATACATTATTTTTAAGTCAATGAATGAGAGGATTAGAATTCTGAAAATCATTTAGAAGTATTGCTTAATAAGTCCTTATTTTCTGCTCAACGTTAAGTAGTGATCAACTTTCACCTCCGCCAGTTTTTCTGCTTTTTTGCTGGTATGGTCTCTCTTTCTGAATTGAATCAAAGGCCTAGGTGGAACTGGAAACTTAGGAGGGAAAGACAAAATGAGGCTTGTTCATGATCAAATTCTGTGTACTCTGGTTGCTTCTTCCCCCTGGAGTGGCAGGTGCTTTTTTATCCAGGATGATTACAGTGATGACATCCATTCTTTTTGGGGGGCATTGAGAGGGTGGGCTTCCAAATTATTTACAAAGGTATTACTAAGTGTTAATATACAAAATTCTCAGGAAATAGTACAAGTTGTAAGGACTGTAAAATAATTCATAGTTTTGTTTCTTCCTCTAATAGTTATAACTTAATTACTTCAGGAGGCTACAACAGTGTATAATTTGTGGTAACATGATCTTCTAGTGACTGTTTATCAAATCCACCTGTTTCCAGATGGAAGGACACATTGCTTGGGGAAATGGCCTAGGTTTTTTTTTGCCATGTGGGCTCTCAAGTTTCCCTGCATGGAGGGTAACACAACTTCTTTATATTATGCTGGGTAAATTTCAGGCTGCTAAATCCTTGGGTGAAGCTTCAAGTTTTACCTTATGCAACTGAAGTCTATTGCAAAATGAGACATATTTACACTGTTTATACTGTAATTTATGCTGCATAAAGTTTTGTAGTGAATGTGAATGAGGATTTTAGGTTTGCTTCAATGTATGTTTACATTTATGTGACTTATACAACTTGGCATAGTAGTCTGTTTTAATTTATTAGGTGTATCACTATTTATTAGATTTAAAATAAGAGTCTAGCACTGGATACAAACTCAGTTTATTTTGCTATTCTAGAACCATGGAGGAATGAAGACTGTCACTGAAATGAATGTTCTAAATATTTGTTCTAAATCTTTTAATTTTTGTTTAAGAATTTCTAGTGAATATGTGTTCAATCTGTTATGTTAAATAGATAATAAACATAAGACTTTACTGATACATCACTGAACATTAGCTGCAATACTGTAACTTATTTCTGTTCTATAATTTCGGTAGGGGCTAATGACCCACCCCCACTACATTAAAGACTTCAGACTACATTGTGGTCCTGCCTTCTCTTCATCTCCAGGCCATAGTGTCATTTGTCTAGTTTTCATGAGTTGAAACATTCACTCACCAAATCTATATCTGACTCCTTCCTCTGTGTAGATGAAAGGCATTTTATTTTAGCCCGGTAGTCTAATATTTGCAACTTATGTTTTGGGTTCTGCCGTGATTGTTTCATGCTTAGTTGTGCAGGGAGGGGAGGGAAGAGATCTTCTCGTGTTTTAAATGAAAAATTTTGGTGAGTGCAGAATAGAGAAGAAACGTCAATACTTCAAAATATCATTCAGCCATTTATTCCAGGTCACCTGAAAGATTTCAGGTGAACTTTCATGAGAAAAGAAAACAAAACAAAACAAAAAACAGTGGAATCTTTAAGCATAGGAACTAATTAAATTCAGGGTATTTTTACATCCAGTATAAGCTGAGGAAATGTTAAAATTTGGGAAAAGTCTTGGGTAATCTAGGAATCTTATGGGAGTAAATTTATAAAATAGTTAAATAATGGTCTTGAGATGAGGAGTGGGTCTGTGTGAGTAGGATGGCTGGACAGCCTGGGAGTAGAGGGGGAACAGCACTACTAGTGCAGCGTTTTATTTTAGGGAGAATGCCAGGTTAGGTGGTGGTATGCTGCTGCAGTAGTATTCCAGTTCCTGACTCATGGACTGTACCTATGGCAACCATGAAAATGTGCTGCTCAGATTTCCCACCACAGGGGCATAGTTTACTGATAGCCCAGCTGTGCTGTATTGTGAATTCTGCTACATTTGTATGAAGCCATTCTTCCTAACAAGTTGCTCCCAAGCCAGTGATTAAGCATGGTAAGGATTTTAAGGCAGGTATGTTTCTGCAAGACAGGCCTCAAAGGTTCTCCATTTGTCTTCCTGAAAATTTCTTAGAACTGCACCAGAGATAGCCTGAGACTTTTCTTACCCAACCCTCTTTCCTTCTCTTCCCTACTAAGCGTCTAGTTCTTCATCATGGTGTGATGACTCTCCCAGGCTCCCGTGGCTCCCTCTCAGTTTTCCTCACAGACATTTTCCCTGTAAATATGTTGCGCATCTAATTCTTTCTTGGTTTTGGCTTCTGGAGGACCCAAACTAACACAGGCAATGTCAGGAATGGTCTGAGATAATGGGCAGTGAGATGGGACACTGACTTGGCACATTCACCATCCAGCTGTCAGAGACGCCTTCCTGTGTGGTATGGATAGTACCTGGCACATAGCGGTAGTCCTGTTTTTAAAGGTTTCATCTGACATGATTTGGAAAAACTTCCTAGTTGAGGGCAGTGCTTTTGCAGGTGTGATTATGCAGGCATTTGAAAAATACGGGCGAATAATGCCTTCAAAGATAGTTCACTGCACTAGCTACTGCTAAGTCGTATTAACACGCTGCTGAGAGGATAGTAAAAAATATATATCCATTAGCAAGCAGTTACAGCATAAATGGGAGGACCACTCTGCTAGTGAAGCTGCAGTGGGAGATCAGACCTAAGGAGTGGCAAATAGAACATCTTATAGAGCTGCAGAGCTCCAGAGATGTATAAAAGGTCAGTCAAGGCACATCTGCTATGCCAAAATCAGGGCCCAGGTTAGGGAAATCTGAGACTGGAATGTGTAGTAAGTAACTTCTGCATGGATTCCCATGAGCTCTTCAAGTTCACAGAGTTGGCCCACTCTTCTCCTGTGTTGGAAGGTACTGCGGAAGCCCTCCCACCTTCAAGGCAACCGTTTCTCTCCTCAGTAGCTTTCCTCACCCCCTTTCCTGGCCAATAGGCATTCAACTAAGATTAAATCCCAGTGTAACCCAACTGGAAAAGTGCCTGGGTCAGATAAGGAAGGAGAGAGAGAATACACAGAAAGAGCTCTAAGAATTAGCATATATTGGCATAAGCAAGGGGGTTGGCCAGTCTGATCAGATATTGGATTTTGAGGTGAGGTGCTTGATCAAAGGGGATAAAATATAAGACTGTAGATCATCAATGATTTCTAGACTTGGGGGCACTTTTTTGGGAAACTTGTGAAAATAGAACACTCAGGATTATTGGACATAGATTCTAAGTTCACATTGATACCTAGAGCACCAAAATATCTAATGGCACCCCTGTTAGAGTGGAAGCTTCTAGGGACCAGGTAATAGATGGAATCCTGGTTAGAGTCTGGCTTACAATGGGCCCACCGGGTTTAGAAACCTACCCAATAGCCATCTCCCCAGGCCCTGGGTATATAATTGGAATTGATATACCTGGCAGTTGGAGTAACTCCTACACAGGATGCTTGTCTGGTGGAGTAAGAGTTATAACAGTGAGGAAGGACAAGTAGAAGTGCCTAAAACTGCCTCCTTTCTCCCAGCCAAGATAATAATAATAATAATAATAATAATAATAATAATAATAAAACAAGATCACATTCTGTGGAATGGGAGGAGGGTGATAGATTATTGCTACCATTAAAGACCCAAAGGACTGTAGACTACTGCAGAGTTAATTGAATAGTAGCCCTGAACACAGCTGCTTTGCTAGACAGATGCCATTGTTAGAGCAGTAGCATGGTATATAGCAATTGATACGGCAAATGCATGCTTTTCCATTTCAATCAGAAAAGGTCAAACAGTTGTATTCACATGGGGCAGACAATATTTACTTAAGGTTTTGCCTCAGGGCTATGTTAACTCTCCTACCTTTTTTTTTTTTTTTTTTGAGACGGAGTCTCGCTCTGTTGCTGAGGCTGGAGTGCAGTGATGCGATCTTGGCTCACTGGAACCTCTGCTCCCTGGGCTCAAGCAATTCTGCTGCCTTAGCCTCCTGAGTAGCTGGTACTACAGACATGTGCCACCATACTCGGCTAATTTTTTTGTGTTTTTAGTAGAGACAGAGTTTCACCGTGTTAGCCAGGCTGGTCTCGAACTCTTGACCTCAGGTGATCCTCCTGTCTCAGCCTCCCATAGTGCTGGGATTACAGGCGTGAGCCATCGCACCCAGCCCTCTTCTACCTTTCATAAGAATGTAGTCCAAAGAGATCTGTACTGTTTTTTCATCCCACAGAATTTCATACTGATCATTACATTAGTAACTTTATGCTGATCAGCAGAACAAGCAACAGGTGGCTCATACACTGGAGGCCTTGGTAAAAGACGTGTGTGCTCCCAAGGGTGGAAGATAAATGCTACAAAGATTCAGGGACCTGCCTGGATTTTCGGTGAAGATTTTAGGAGTCCAATGTAGACAGCTTGAGTGATATTTTTAGGGGTCCAATGGCCATGGGTATGCTAGGATATACCCTCCAGAGTAAAAATCATTGCTCACATCTTGAATCCCTCACCACAAAAACTGAAGCACATGCATGGTAGGCCTCTTTGTATTTCTGGAAGTAATATATTGTTCATCTAGGAATATTGATGTGGCGCATATATTACACCTAATATATGACACAGAAGGTGGTTAACTTTGTGTGAGTGCGACACAGTGCAGGAAAGGGCTCTGCAGTAGGTTCAGGCTGTGTTGTAAGCAGTCCTGCTGCTGGAGTCATATGATCTGGAAGACCTTATGATGTTAAAGATGTCAGTAGTGATAAAAGATGTAGTATGTTGCTTATGGAAAGCCTAACATGGGCCCTGTAATGGGATTATGGATCAGGGTCATGCAGTCCATGGCATAGAATTAAATGCCTTTTGAAAAACAGCTTCTGGGCCAGGTGCGGTGGCTCAAGCCTGTAATCCCAGCATTTTGCGAGGCCAAGGTGGGCGGATCACGACGTCAGGAGATGGAGACCATCCTGGCTAACACAGTGAAACCCCATCTCTACTAAAAATACAAAAAATTAGCCGGGCGTAAGTCCCAGCTACTCAGGAGGCTGAGGCAGTAGAATGGCGTGAACCTGGAGGTGGAGCTGGCAGTGAGCCGAGATCGTGCCACTGCACTCCAGCCTGGGTGACTCCGTCTCAAAAAAAAAAGAAAACAAGAAAAAGAAAAACAGCTTCTGACATGATTCTGGATTCTGGTAGAGACAGATTGCTTGGCCTTGAGGCACCAAATGACTATGGATCTGAGACTTCACTTTATAAATAGGATTCTATCAGACTTATCAAGTAAAAAAATTGAAGTACTAGCAGTAGACAATCATAAAATGGAAATAGTGCATCTGGGATTGAAGACTGAGCAGGACCAGAGAGCACAAGCAAGTTACTTGAGCAGGTAGTCTAATCCCCATATCATCCACTTCGGTTGCACTAGCTAGAAATGCCCGCTAGAAAGCCTCCAGTGTCCTGGAGGTTGCAGTGAACCGAGATTGCACCACTGTACTCCAGCCTGGGTGGCAGAGCAAGACTTGAATGTCTTAAAAAAAAAAAAAAAGAAAGAAATCCTCCAGTGTCCTGGAGAGACACTGGACAATTAAGAAGACAGAATGATGGCCAGATGATTTTGCCATCCTTCATTTACCCAGGAACTCTCATTTTTCTGTTTTCAGTTTCTTTCATTTCTACTTACTATTTCCCTTCTTGTGTTTGCTTTGGTTTTATTTTGTTCTTCTTTTTTATATTCTTGAAAAGAAATGCCTAGATTATTAATTTGAGACTTTTCATCTTTTCTACTATATGCATTTGGTGTGACAAGTTTTTCTATCAGCACTGCTTTAGCTGTATCCCACAGATTTTGATACATTGTGTTTTCTTTTTTTTCCTTCCTGATGGAATAGCTCAGATTCTAAGTGTTTCCATTTTGGTTTACTTAAATGTCTTTTTTGATTTTCCTTGAAATTTCCTCTTTGACTTGTAGATTATCTAGAAATACATTGTTTACTTTCTAATGGTTGAGATTTTCCTGTTATTCTTTATTGATATCTAGCATGATTCCATTGTGCTCAGAGAACACACACTGTATGAATTTGGTTCCTTTACATTTGTTGAGGTTTGTTTGATGGCCAATGATATGGCCTATCTTGGTATAGGTTTCATGGGCACTTGAAAAGAATATATATTCTACTGTTGGTAAG